TATCTGATTTAATTTATTTTCAATAAATTAAATCAGTTAAGTCATACACTGCCACTACAAAGTAGTGGCAGTGTATGATCTTAGTGTGTGATCTTAATGTATTTTATTTAAATGAATTCTTCTTCCTTTATAAAGCTCTTTGAATTGCCTTGTGTCTGAATTGCCGCCCTCGACCCGGCTTGCCTTGCTTCCTGTTTCTTCCATTGTAGTTTCCTTTTTCAGTCATGCTAGAAGAAAACGGAAGTCAGCCATGTACAGAAGAATTACCGCGTCGTGTATCATCCTGTTCATATTAATAAATGGTAAGATGGTCTCTTTTGTTTAAGTGTCCTTGTGGGTGAGCACAGGGAGCCATTGACTATGGAACATGAATTCTGTTAAAGGCCTTACTAAAATGCCAGTTTATAACTTTGTGTTTTGAATGGTTTTCAGTTCATCAGGCCTGTTCTGTTCAAAAAAGGCAACTTTCTAAGTAAATGTATTAAATTGGTGCTGTGATCCTGCACTAAATTATGGATAATAGATGGAAGGTGATTATAGTTAATGAAAGATTTATTTTATATTTTTCATTTTCATGGATTATGGGTTAATGCATTTCATGCATTTATGTTACACCATCATGTGGATATTTATCATCATCTGGATATTGTTCACACTATTAAGGATACATTTCCAGTAGAAACAGAAAGAGGGTTGTGCCTTTTTAAGGATTATATCACATTTCAGGCATATTGTTTTTCAGAAATTGAACATATTCACAAAAAAAAGAAAAGAAGACTTTTTATGTACAGACCTTTACCTTTATTTTTAATATTTATATGCAATTTGAATTTGTTGAGCATATTTGCATATACTGAAAAGAAAACTTTTGGATTTGAGAATTTTGTGTAAAATGAACATTCAAATAAAATATCTGAATCATATTATTCAGTTCAGGAAGTGGCTGCTGACATTTTATAGGAAAGGAGAAGCTTATGGTCGTTGTGCAGTTATAAAGATACCACAAGCCATAACTGCCATCAGTACAGAATAATGCTTTAGTTTCACGAGGGAAAAAAGAATTTTAGAATTGCACATATTTTGAATATAGAATGAAAAAAAAATAATGATTTTTTTCCATTAAACTTTTTTTAATCTCATAGATTATACTTCATTTTCTGATCTTAAACCTGTAAGATTTAAAATATTTATTCTGAAAAACAATGTACTAACAAATTGGGTCAAATATACATAATCAACAATTGTCATTTTAAGAATCTTCATCACCAGGCTTATAGACTTTTAAATATAGCCTATCACCGTCTTTGGCTAGAGGCATATAAATCACATGACATCTTATTGAGTCCAGCTTGCTTATTGTGAGCTTCTTTTCCCCATGACCGTTAATTCAAGGAAAGAAGCTGCTTTAGTGCATGGTCTAAATTGCTTTAAGGTAAAGTATGTAGTAAGATATACTATCTGATATTGCTTACTGAATGTCATTATAGGACTGAAATATAGAGCAATTGGCCAACAAAACTGCTGTGCTCTAAAGCTTGTAGCTCAGGCAGAGGCATCTTGTGGTTTGTCGTATATGGAAGACTTCTTTAGCGATAAATCAGGCAAGCTACTTTTGTTCCAAAGGACAATTTCTATCAGTTAAACATATACATTTGACACCTCACTCAAACGCTGCAGACTCCTCAAATGAGCAGTTCAGTATCCAAAAACAATAAATACACTGTCTGCAGAATTATTAGGCAAGTACTATTCCTGGAGATCATTTTTAGAAAAAGTTGGGCAGAGAAAATGTTACATTTGACTTTCACAAACAAAAATAAAAGAAAAACGCTTAATTATCAGTGTGCAGAATTATTAGGCAATCAGAAACTA